TCTGATATGTTCACCTACAACTTAACACTTTAAACATATGGTGTGTACACAGCTGTTGTCTTTTTTGGACACACCTGCTAGCTGCTCTGGGGTCCCTTTTTGGCTCAGTATTGTGCTAAATTTATTTGAATTCATTTCCAACCTGCCTTCTCCCTACAATACAGTGGTGCCTCGCAAGACGAAATTAATTCGTTCCGCAAGTCTCTTCGTCTTGCGGTTTTTTCGTCTTGCGATGCACGGTTTCCCATAGGAATGCATTGAAAATCAATTAATGCGTTCCTAGGGAAACCGCCTTCAGACCAGGTCCGGGGACAGACTGTCCCCGGACCTCTTCTGAAGGCTGGGGGGGGGACAAGGGCTTTTCTTCCCACCCCCAGCATTTTAAAAAACCCTGGGACAGCGGAGGACTTCTCCGCTGTCCGGGCGATCTTAAAATGCTGGCGGCGGCATTTTAAAATCGCCCCGGGACAGCGGAGGACTTCTCCGCTGTCCGGGCGATTTAAAAGCCCCTGGGAAGGCAGGCAGGGGGACAAAGACTTTCGCCCCCCGCCCGCCTTCAGAAGGTGTTCCCGCCCCCCCCGCTACGATGTACTGCGCTACGAAGCCCGCGGCTGGGGCAGGTGTTCCGCCCCCCACCCGGCTTCGCAGCAGCGCTACGAAGCCCAGCGGCTGGGGCAGGTGTTCCCGCCCCCCCCCACCCCGCTTCGGAGCAGCGTTCCGAAGCGGGGTGGCTGGGGCAGGTGTTCCGCCCCCCGCCCGGCTTCGCAGCAGCGCTACGAAGCCCGGCGGCTGGGGCAGGTATTCCCGCCCCCCCCCACCCCGCTTCGGAGCAGCGTTCCGAAGCGGGGTGGCTGGGGCAGGTGTTCCCGCCCCCCGCCCGCTTCGCAGCAGCGCTACGAAGCCCGGTGGCTGGGGCAAGTGTTCCCGCCCCCCCCACCCCGCTTCGGAGCAGCGTTCCGAAGCGGGGTGGCTGGGCAGGTGTTCCCGCCCCCCGCCCGGCTTCGCAGCAGCGCTACGAAGCCCGGCGGCTGGGGCAAGTGTTCCCGCCCCCCCCACCCCGCTTCGGAGCAGCGTTCCGAAGCGGGGTGGCTGGGGCAGGTGTTCCCGCCGGCTTCGCAGCAGCGCTACGAAGCCCGGCGGCTGGGGCAGGTGTTCCCGCCCCCCCACCCCGCTTCGGAGCACCGGGAGAAGCGATCTCCCCGCAGCCCCTTGCTTCAAAAGAGGTCCGGGGGCAGACCTCTTTTGAAGCAAGGGGCGGTGGGGTGAAGCGATCTCCCCGCCGCCCCTTGCTTCAAAAGAGAAGACCCGCTGTCCCCGGGGCAAGCTTCGTTTTGCGAAGCAAGCCATAGGGAAATTCGTCTTGCGAGGCAACTCCGAAAACGAAAAAACCTTTCGTTTTGCGAGTTTTTCGTCTCGCGAGGCGTTCGTCTTGCGGGGTACCACTGTACTCATTTTGTAAAGTTCAAAGATCCCGTAAATAAAGGGGTAGGGCAGTCATGAGGGTCATGGCTCACTGGTAGAGCATCTGGTTTCTGTGCAGAAGGTCTCTGCTTGAATATCAGCTGTCTCTGCAGATGTTTCCTGCCTGAAGCCCTGGACAGCTGCTGCCCATCAGTGCAGGCAATATTGCGCCTCAGGCAGGAATGGTTTGACACACCACAGGTAGCCCTGCTAGCCTGTTGCTGCAACATAAACAATAGTCTTGTAGTATGAAACTGACAAACGAGTATTATTAAGCTTTGTGCACTACAAAAGGCACATTTCCTTTTATTACTCTCACCTGCTGTCTCTTGTTTTCTATTCTCTGAGGTTTGTTAAAGTATTCTTATTTGGCTGACTTTGCAAGATAATAGTTCCAGTGTGGTGTAGTGGTTAAGAGCAGTAGTCATGTAATCTGGGTAACCGGGTTCGCGTCTCCGCTCCTCCACATGCAGCTGCTGGGTGACCTTGGGCCAGTCACATTTCTTTGAAGTCTCTCAGCCTCACTCACCTCACAGAGTGTTTGTTGTGGGGGAGAAGGGAAAGGAGATTGTTAGCCGCTTTGAGACTCCTGAAGGGGAGTGAAAGGCGGGATATCAAATCCAAACTCTTCTTCTTCTTCTTCTTCTTCTTCTTCCAAAATGTGATAAGCTGCTAGCACATTTGCAAAGCTAAGCAGGGTCAGGTATTGCTTCAAACTGGATGGGGAGCTGTGTGTTGAGTTTCCAGCATCGGACTAGATGACCCCTGGGGTTCCCTTGAATTCTATTATTCTCAATATTAATTTTTCAATTATATTTCATTACTTTCACCAGTTTCAAATTTGTTATCCATTTCTCTTTGGGATTTGGCTCCCTGCCTTTCCTTCCATGCTGTTTTTGTACGCTTCCCTTTTACACACTGCATGATATCACCTGTTTCACCTAATACAGGTTCCTCTATTATATCACATACTATTAATTTCTATCATTCTCATTTTGCTTTTGTTTTGCTTTTTCCCTCCCCGCCCCAAACAGGCTTCCCTTCTCCGCTTTAGCTGAACCTCCCGCATTCTCTCCTTCAAGTGCCAGCGCACATCTCCCGAAGCATCTCTATGTCCCACTAGGCGCAGTTAGCTCCGCCTAACTACTGGCGACGCATGCGCGGTCTGCCGCGACGCCGTTGGAGGCTAGTATGGCGGGGGCGGGGCAAAGGGGGCGGGGCCGCGCGCTTCTCCGCCACGCCGCCGTGCCTTATACTTGAGTAGCTCCGCCTAACTGCTGGCAGCGCATGCGCAGCTTTCCTCCGCGCTGCCGTTGGCGAGCAGCCTTGTGGGGCGCAAGATGGCGGCGGCGGGCGGCGGCGGCGGCGCTGCAGGCGGCGTCTCGTCAGGTGAGGGTCGCGGTCGCGCGTGTCTCCTCCTGGGGGGCCGCCCTTCCCCCCGCGCCGGGGTGGCCTCGGCTGCGGGTTGTCAAGTTTCAGCCCCGTCAGAGACGGAGCCGCGCCTGGCGGGTGTTTCGCCTCCCCGCAAGCGGGTTGTTTTGTGCGCCGCCTTTCTCCCGAGAGGGGCTCGAGGCGGCTGACAGATCGGGAACGTAGAAAAGGCGACAATTAGAAAGCACACAGAGTCCTTTCCAGGCCTGTGCTCGGGTGGGGGGGGGTGGTGAAGGACACAAGCGTCTCATTTCGCTTGGAGAGGTGTCAGCTGCTGTGGAGGTTGCCCTTGGGGGACAGAAAGCCGGGATTTCGTCCCGTGGGTTATTGGGCCCCAAAGAGAAGCCCACACCAAAGTCTCCCTCCCTCCACGCCGCCAGAAGAAACTCAGGAATGTAAATAGTCTTTTGCTTGGTTGCCTGTAGGAAATAGTGTACTGCAGTGCCCTCTGCTAGCCAGGCATGCATTCCCCCTGAGTCACCCCATCGGGGTGCTACAAATTACAAACAATTGTGTCTCCAGGTGGGTAGGCTAGTAAATTATTTGTGGGCTCGCGCTTTCGTGGTCTTTCCCTCCCAAGACTAAATCTGGAAAAACGTTTGTCAGCAAATCAGGTAAAAGTATAATTAGATTTTGTAAAAGAACAGATGCACTGATGAATATCTGGACGCTTGCATCTGATTACTTGCACAAAATGTACCACACTTTGACCCCGATTTATTTTTGTTGTAATAATAGATCTTCCGCATCCCATGTGTTGGACAAGTAAGGGGTTATTATGTGGACTGGAGGATGGTACGTGATGTTAAGAGAAGGAAGATGGCTTTTGAATATGCAGATCAGAGGCTGCGGCTGAATTCCCTTAGGAAAAACAAAATTTTGCCCAAAGAACTCCAGGTAAGATGAAAATACTGTTTTAAGATATTCTTGATTGTAGCAATGAACCAGGCATCCCCTCCCCATCTACATCACAGATTCAAAAATATTTTTTATTTCAGCATGATATAACCATTGTAGGTTATGAACAGGTCATGAATAGAATCATCTCCTGATTCATTTCCCACAGTACATCCATTGCTTTTTACATACTTTTTTTTAGTCATTGGTTTATCCATTTCTATTCTTTCAAGGAGCTAAGAGTCCACTAAGCAAATAATACGATGGAAGCAGCTAGCCAGTTGTGTGCAGTTACAGTATTACACAGAGGATCAGTTTGGAATGCAACCTACTGCTTGGGAATCCTGTAATTTTGTTTTAAGTTATTGTGTCTTCATTGTGGTGGGTTCCCTGAAGTGGCATCTATTATGCATTGAAAACCTTTCACATGGTGTCTTTCAATTAAAAATTCCAGGCAGTTTTTTACTGGTTATTCTGTTCCAGACTGTACTTTTTAAAAAATTTAAAAGGCATCATGAAAGCTCTTTTGTTTTCTATATGCTTTTAGAATTTAACTGTTGGTTGTTCTCCATAGTGATTCAGTCCTTTTACAAAATTCCTTTTTCTTTTTCTAAATGTATTATTGTAGGTAGTGTTTTTGTTGACTACCTGTGTACATGTGGCATTTGAAGGCTCCAGGAACAAACTGCTAAATTGTTAAAGAAAACAACACTGTTATAGTAATTTATTACAACACTAGGGCTGACCTGCCCTCCGCCATTCCTCACCCATTAACTTCCTAGACCTTCCCCTTCCCACACTATGCAACTACTAAGATTGCTTTTCACTGAAGCTGCTTATCTCTTCAGTTTTGCAACCCTACTTTGCGCTCATTTTTACCTTCACCCCATGTCCATGCTTCTTCCCTCTCCCTTTGTGCAAGCAGCCTTGCACACAAACTTCCCACACAGTAACATCCTGTATCTAACTCCACCTACGCATTGCAACTATGCACCCTTTTCATCTTCTGCCCAAGTATGAAGCCACCATCCCTTTCATCTTCCACCCTATTCCCACGCCTCCTACTCCCTCTTTTTTCACAAACCACCTTGCACCCCCAATTTCATCTTCACTTCCTTTTCCCCTCCATATTTCCTCATTTTTCTCAACTCTCCCTTGCAAAAAAATTAAGAAAATATGAGGATCGCTTGAAGGAGTTGGTTATGTTTAGCCTGGAAAAGAGGAGACTGAGATAGCCATTTTCTTAAGGGCTGTCACATGGAAGTTGGAGCAAGCTTATTTTCTCCTGCTCTGGAGGGTAGGACTCGAGGCAATGGCTTCAAGTTACAAGAAAGGAGATTCCGACTAAACATTTGGAAAAACTTTCTGACAGTAAGAGGAGTTCAGTAGTGGAACAGATTCGAGACACACGTTATTTTTGCCAGTGAGTTTGCAGATTCCTAGCTGGAGGAATTAAAGCTTTGATTTGTCACAACCATAGTGGTTGTAAAAACTGCTGCTGCTGTCACATTTACTTCCTGTGTTGCT